CAATTCCATTCATCAGTAACAGCGAAGTACAAAATGAATTTTCATTACGTAAATTGAGCACAAATTGTAACCATTTTACATATGAAAATTACTAAGCAAAAAAACTGTAAAAAGCTGAAAAATACACGCAAATCCTAAAACAAAAAACAAGTGCCTTTGAAATCAGCCATCGGAATCAGACTCCAGCAGCTCAACATCCACTTGCTCATATGGAATTGGTGCAGCCAAAGACACATTAGCGGCAGCAAGGGCTTTGAGCCAGCCGTGTTTAAGGCCCCGATTCTCAAATTTTTTCCCGGCATCAAATGCGTTGGAAGCCTTCAGGTCAACTATTTCCTTCGCCGCCTTCATCTCTTCCAACTCAGCCTTCAATTTAGAATTCGCCTCTTGGGCCAATTTAAGCATGGCGTCGCTCGCATTCGCCCTCTCCTCGGTGATCGATCTCAAATCTTCAGCTTTACGAGCTCTCTCCAACTCGGCCTTGGCACGAGTGCTCTCGATCTGCGTCCTACTTCTTTGGCCCTCAACCTCTGCTTATGAACGGCCAATCTGCTCCACGGCATCATGATAGCGACGGCCCATGTCGGCTATCCTTGCGACGGTCTGCAAAATAGGAAGTTAAAACCAAAATAATGTGTAAGGAGAAAAGACAGAGTCAAGATATGTACCGAAAGAGCCGATTGCGTGGCCAACGCAATTGCAACCAGATCCGGCTCCGCCCAAAAATTTGCCTTATCAGCAAGTAGTGAAACGGACGTTGCCAAACTAAGTGCAACCACTGGATCTTTGATTACCGAAGCATCGCAGAAGATCGGCGTATTTTTCATCTTCAGCTAAATAACAAAAGGTACAATCACATCCGATTCCTCCAAACGAGGCCGTTTGTCAGCGCGACCTTCTTCTGAGCCAGCCTCGACGTCGGCAGGGCGCTTCTCCACCCTTTGCTCAGCTTCTACACTGGCCTGCACCAAGGGTTCCGTTTCGGTGCTTCCTCCTTTTGCCGTCACTTCCTCAATAACGGGCAGGGACGACTGAGACTGAGATTCGGCAGCCCGAATCTCCTCCGCCCTTCACCGCGCAGCTACCCTTTCCGCATTCGCTTTCTTGGCAAGCTTAGTGAGGCTCAGCCCAGCCATATCTTTTGGGTACGCGCCGAGAAGATCCTCCAGACCTTGAAAAATATCATCAAGTGGACGGTCCTCTCGACCCGAAGTGGACGGATTATCAGCCGAATTGAGGCTAGCTTCCTCAAATGCTAATTTCAAAGCCTCGTCAGCCTCTATTTCGACTTCGTCTGATTTGGCGGCATCAGCTACTTCTGGTCGCTCTGAATCTAATTCCTCGCAACTGAATTGCCTCAAATTTTTTAATTCAGTCAAGATACGGGCAACAAGAAACTTCTCACCAATCGGAATTGGGATATTTTCCGCTACCGAAAAGGTCATATAAGTCGGCTCGTAGTGGAGCAGAACGCGCGCCGCCCTCCCTTACTTCTGAAGACTCCGTCAGCCGAAGTACTTGAGCGCAGTCTTGATTTCGAAAAGGACGGCGTCGTCAGTTGAGGTCAAGATTTTCTTCAAATCGTTCCCTGCAAAAGCAAAACCATAAGGTCCCAAAAATGAAGCTTTATAAATTTAACAAATGAATAAAAGATGATACTCAGCCACCTGGTTCGCCCCTCCGTCTAGGAATACGATCAAGGCGATCCTCGCCTTCGCCAAATTCCCAGTTTCCTTGGACGATGACCATAACATCATCGACTCGCTTCCCAAAGCTGGAAAGCATAGTCACTAGTTGATGGTCGGTGTCTTTGGCTCTAAGGAAATAACGCCTGTGCTGACCAGAAGACTTGGCCAAGGTGTAGCAATGTCGAACAGCGGGGATGCCAAGGTTAAACCCAAGGCAGTGGTATAGTGCGACAATCCCCATCACAATCCAAAAGAAATTGACGTTGGGCTGCGAAGGGATTAACTTCCAATAGCAAAGCACGGCCCTAAGGAGTAGGTGAAGGGGGAAACGGACCCCGCCCTCTGCGATTGATAGAAGAGGGAAGACGATTGTGGTTTCATCAACCCTCTCCATATCCAGGGAGTCGTCTTCCATAAAAGACAGACGGACGTCATCAGGGATGGAAAAATGGCGTCGGAAGCCAGAAATTCGATCCGGTGAGAGGAGATCTTTTAAATGTTTCGCCATTCTCCCTAGCCAATATGATTATGCTAAGCCAAAAAATAAAGCAACGAAAGAAATTCAAAACAAAGAATGAGAGAACTTACAAGTGGCGAAGGAGGTAGAGAAGAGTAGGAGGTCGCAGAGATAGTTCGGAAGGCAATCCAGTGACGGGCATCTAAAAGCGTGTATCTATTTGAAAAGACGTCAAAATTTTAAATCACAATAAATGAGAGTGTACGAAGCGACGGGAAGTTAAAATGATAACCGAGAAGCGTGTGGACAGACATTTGCATTGGAATACGGTCAACCGCCGAATTTTGGCTCTGACTCTTCGAGTTCAAAGCCAAACACTCCAACCAACTACTACTAGTGGAGTGCTTGGGGGGCAATTGTGGGGGTCGAATATTGGGAGTCGTAGAGATTCCGGAGAGTCGAACATTGAAGAATCAAGATTCGAAACATTCGGCCATTACCACGGAAACTCGGACCCAACCTTATTCGACTAGATAGTCGATTAAGCAAGGGGCCGAGTGAAGATCGGTTTATTACAAAATATGCTGAATAGGAGGTTGGATTTGGAACTAATCCCGAGGCCCAAAGAAGAAAAGATATAAATAGATGAGACATCAGCCAGAAAGAGGTATGTGATAATTGTGGTGTTTAACTTGGAATACAAGTAATCTAGAACGAGAGACAGACTTGTCCGTCGGAGTGCTAATTCCAACACCCCCGACCGGAGTGTTTACTTCCTTTCAGGTGCCTATCGGTGGATCACGAGTGTCCCCTAAGATCAGAAGAGTATTTCCAAAAACCACTTCCCCACAAACATGTTACCAAATTGTTGCATTCATATGCCATCTTAGATAGCCGAGCCTATTTAGTTGCATTATTGCATGTGTTGCATTAGGCATCTTGTATAGTTAGGATCATGCATTGTTTCTAACTAGTTTCTATTTTGGCTCGGAGTACACTGTAAGTGTTTACGCTTTAGCATACTTGCATGAGTGTTAGTGTTTCCATGATAGCATGCTTGCCATGAGGTTATTTGCTTAAATGCTTTACTACATGAATGCCCGTGGGTGATGGCTTGATTGCCTGAATTGGAACAACTCGATGATTCTAAATTTTAAGCCCACTTTGCGAAGTGGCAAAATCATGTTTTAAGCCCACTTGAGGATGGCAAATACGCGCTTTAGCCCACTTGAGGGTGGCATTTTCAAACCATTTTCAAACCATTTTCAAAAACAAACATGAGTTGTTTTGTTCCAATTCTCGTGATTGAGTCTATACTTGTATGTGTGCGTCACATAGTAAAGTTAGCTAATAACTGGATAAGAACACATGAGGTTTATAAAACAACATATCATACTTAGTAGAGGTCGATCCTTTGATCGGGCGAGCGGAGGTGCTCATTTCAGGACCTTCCCCTCTTGTACCCAAGTTCCCGAGCCGAGGCAACTTTGGTGATGACGGACACGTAGCCTTTGGCACGAGTCAGGGTTTCCTAAATTTTCCAAAATAAAATATTTAGGTGGCGACTTTGTAATCTGGAAAAGCAGTCTAGTTTTGGCATTATTCGATTTAAAATCTGATTTTCCAAAAATGACTTGCCGAATTGGACTCTTTGGTGTTAATCAGTCTCGTATTGCACTTTGTGAGATTAGATTCAGAACCGTGATAGGAGTCCAAACTGTAGAGGACCAATTTGCGCCTCTTTGAAAGGGGGGCAAGCGAAGAAAGTTGGTTCTACACTAACCTGACATGTTGGTCAGCATTTAAGGACTATCTGGAAAACGAAAGCTACAGATGTAGGACTACTATTATAATAGCTACAGATGTAGGGGAAGACTACCAAGCGTGAATGTGAGTTGGAAATTGGAAGCAAATTATTAACAAAATAATGAGTATAGTTGTTCGAATGATTAAAGTGACCTTATTTTATTTTGATTTTGTGAAGTAGTGGACCATTGTTGGTTGGCTAAGTGTTGGTGTTCACCATTCACTTTTTGGATGTGGGGCGATATATTTAGATTAATCACATTTTGTTTTGTGCATTATTTATATACTAAAAAAAATGTGTCAATAAAATTTTTTTTTCATAAAATGGATGATAGATGTTTAAATCAAGTAATGTTATAATCACATCATTAAAGTGTATATTGTTTCAAATTTAAAATTTTATTATTGTATGACATTTAAAAAAAAAAAAAAGAGAAAAATGAGACTTGTCTCGATCCTGATGCAAGTAGAGTCAGTTCCTTCTCCTTCTTTTCAGTATTCATTTAAAAAGTGTTGCATTGTGTGATATTCAATACATGTATCATATATACACACGCATGTATAGTTAAATTACGAAAGCGCAAGGAACTGTGTAAGAATTTGGAGCGAAACTGAAAGATGTGGACTGATATAATACATGTTGGTAGAGGATCAAAGCTCTGGACTGATATAATACATGTTGTTCTTTCCAATCCAGAGCTGCATCAATTCTATTTGAATAATTCTCAACTGGTTTTGGGGGATGGGAGAAGAGTTCTTTTTTGGAGGGATAAGTGGGTGGGTAATGTATGCTTAATGGATGAATTCCCAAGGCTTTTCTTATTATCTAATGATAAAAATGGTGTGGTTAGTGTGTTTTTTGAAAGAATGGCAGAGGATGGTGGCTGGAACCTGGGATTTCAAAGATCTTTGCTGGTCTGGGAGGAGGAAGAAGCATATAGATTATCTAGTCTGTTTAGCACTGCACCAACACTGTGTAGCACCAAACCTAATGAGCTTCTTTGGTGTGCAGATCCATCTAAGCTCTTTACTGTTTCATCTGTATATAAATGGACCAAATCTTTTCTGCAATTCCAGTGGCTGCCTCAATTTGGAACAACTTTGCGCCCCCAAAAGTGAAATTTTTTGGGTGGTTAGCTTGGCTTAGTAAGGTTAAAACCTCTTCTTTCCTTTATAGAATTGGAATCCTCACAGGAAGTGCAAATCTTAGCTGTGTATTTTGTCATGAAGAGGTTGAAACAGTAGAACATATTTTGCTCTACTGCCCTTTTGTGTGGCTGCTTTGGTCAGATATTATCCACTGGTGGGGATTACAGTGGGTGATTCCAGGATCTGTGCATGGTTTGTTGGAATGGTGGTCTGGATGTAGAATGCAGAAGTTTGAGAAGAAAATCTGGATGGTAATATCTTTGGGCACTCTCTGGTCCACTTGGAAGCACAGAAATGACTGTGTCTTTAATGGTTCTCAACCAAATTTGGAAGCTTTGTGTGAATTAGTGAAGGTTAGAGTTGCTATGTGGTTCAAAGCATCGAAACTTCAGGTGGATTTCTCTATAAATGATTTGGTCTTTAATCTGCCACAGGTGAAATATTGTATCAGGAATGGAGGTTGAAGGTTATGGCTCAAGTCTGGTGTTTTTTGGCCTCATCAATTTGCTCCTTTGTTTTAATGAATAATGCTTGGTGTTTGGAAGCAAGGCTACTAACTAGAGTTCAAAGCAACAGCTCACTGATATTTGCTAAGTTTTGTAGAATGCTTGAAGGGTTGCTTGTTGCTTTGATCTGTTTGGAGTTCAAAGCAGTGCAGTTCATCATGGTGTAGAATGACTGAAGGGCTGCAGTGTAGTTCATGGAAATTTCAAGGCAGTGTAGTTTCAAGGCAATATAGTTTCAAGGCTGATGGTTTGTGCTGGTTTCTCTCTGGTTGAAGGCAATGTAGTTTCAAGGTTGATGGTTTGTGCTATTTTTTCTTTGGTTTGTGCTGGTTTTTCTCTGGTTTCTCTCTGCCTTTGCTCTGTTTTGCTTTGCCAATGTAGTTTCAAGGCTGATGGTTTGTGTTGGTTTTTCTCTGGGTTGTGCTGGTTTTTCTTTGGTTTCTCTCTGCCTTTGTTTTGTTTGCTTTGTTGTTGGTCTCTCACCAACTAGGATGTAACGCCCCGAAAATTGGGTAGGGTATATCTATTTATGCAACAAAACTCACCTGATAGACAAACACACACACACACACACACACACACACACACACACACATATATATATATATAGCTAACTATTCCATACATCTATTTCCATTAAACCCCAAATACCAAATACATGTTGTTTACATCTCAATGCCCCAGTTCCAATCCCAAGCATGCATTTTACAACAAGTATGAAATGGAAGCCAAACTGATTATGAGTGCCTTACAGGCTTACAAATTTATCCAAGAACATTCTTGGTTACACAAAATGGAGTTTCAACTCAACGCAGATACAACCTTGGGCTTACATTAAACAAATAACCATAAAACAAAAATGAAGCCTCAGCTTCGAGTCCTCCCAAGTCAATGCCTTGGCAGAGGCATATCACCTGTACCTAAAATGGTTTCCCTTATAGGGTGAACCACAGCCCAGTAGAGATATACTACACAACATATGGACCATGACAAGACTAAAGAGGAGTATGTTCATGCCATGCTCATGATAAAATAGTTTATCTCTATTTTTATAAAGCATGCAATGCTGAGATGCAACAATAGATATAAAGCCATTCCATTTTAAACCATATCTGTTACATGAATGCAATCTCTATGAATCTCTAGGTGAGTGTTTTCAAGTAGGCCCTAATGTACTACCACTGTCATTTTTATCAGTAAACTAGAAGGCTCTACATCTAACCGCGCGGTTCTACACCCTCTACCCAGATTCACCAAGTATTCATCTTTTCGCAAACAGATATATTTCCAAACATTTCTCAAAAACAAATACATTTCCAATGAAGTGAATGTAATGCAATGTCCAATGCAACAAATGAGTAATGTGGTTCAATTTACCTATGGAATGTGGTTCAACAAATGAGGAAGGTGATATGCCTTCCCCACTTAAGGAATTCTGTCCCCGAAATTTAAACTAGATAACCTCGCTGAATCAAAATCAATTACAATCGTAGAAATGCAAACATGGCATGATAACACAACCTTCCAATTAATCATAAGAAATTCACCCTATTCCATAACATATACAATGTACATCCTAATATTATAGCTCTCAAACATCGATAAAAAGGTTCAGATACTTCTTACGGATTTCAGCCTCACGTTCCCAAGTCGCCTCCTCAATCCCGTGATGTCTCCACAACATTTTCACCAAGGGAAAAATACGAACAAAAGATACACAAACACATACGGACAACTATGAAGATAATACATAGATATGTACATATACACAGACACATTTGGGAAATACGCCGTTACTAACAAAGAATATTCTATCTATGGACGTCAGCGAGCATATGCCGTTACTACGATGGAATATTCCGTTAGCTCCCGTCATCGCGCGTAAGCAAAACACACAAAAAGGAAAGAAAACATGAATGCAGGGATATGGTATTTTGAACCCCCGATCTCAAGCTTAGGCCATAGCCCAAACCACTGAGCCAAGCTACTCTTTTGACAAAAGTAGTCGAATAAATGTATATAATACATAAATATACAATATATATACATATATGTATACAACTTTCCCGCTTCTCTCTCTTCCTTCGAAAATCGCGTTTGACGCGCGGCCTTGCTTTTGCATCAGCTACCCGACAAAAGCATACCTCCTCGATTTGTAAGCTCGCCTCGGCTCTCTCTCCCTCTTTGTCTTCTTCTCTTCCATCTTCTTTTTCGTCGGCTGGTTGTCTAAAGCTGCCCTCCTCGATTCTCTTCCATCTCCTTTTTTTGCCCTTTTTTTTTTTTGCCTCAACTCTCTCTCCCTCTTTGTCTTCTTCTCTTCCGTCTTCTTCTTCTTCTTCACTCTCTTTCATCTACTTAATCACTCTCTTCTCCTTCTTCTTTCTCATTTCCCTTGAGAGAGACAGAACATCGAGACTGAGCGGAGGAGAAAAGCTATCGCATAACTCAGTCTGTTCTCTGTTATTTCTTTGTGACTCCTTTATTTCTTTTTACACTTCTCACCACACATGGCCTCATCTCGTCCCCTCACTCTCTTTCCGAACCTCAATGATCCAAGCTCTCCTGGACCGAGTGCCCCTGCTCCTACTCTTCCTAACCTTTCTGGACTTAGTGCCCCTACTCCTACTCTTCTTAACCTTCCTGAACAGAGTGCCCCTGCTCCCACTCTTCTTAACTTACCCATGATGTCAGTTGAGCAAATCATGGCCGCTCAATCTGACATTGAAGCCAACCACTTCACACTGAGATCCTGCATGGAGACAGTGACTACAGTTACCAAATTGTCTCACCGGCTGCAGAATAGGACCAGTGAGTTACATCAGTTAAATGCCAAACTTTCTCTTCTCCAGTGCATGTACAAAGATGCGCAAGCATAGATTTACGTACTGAAGGCGGAGAATAAAGAGCTGAAACGGAAGACCACCGTCATGGCCCAATTCAGAGCACCTTTGTACTTCGCCTTTGACAGCCAACAAGGAGTCAACTCTTTCGGCGGTGCTGTACGCATTGAGGGAGGGCCTTCAAGGGTCTCCCAAGATGACAAAAAGAGAAAGAGCTCGACGGGAGAGTGGAGTAAGTAAAGTCGGCATGTGGCCGTCATAAAAAAAATAAGATCCCTCTCTTTCTTTCTTCTTCTTCTTTTTTTTTTTTTTTACTCTGCAATCGAGAATGTCATCCCCTAACGTCAATAAAATCAATTTCACTTTTTTTTTTTGCACAACAATGGCGTAACTGGCATAACACTTTGAGGTTGAAAATAATTTTGTTTGACTAAATTTGAGAATAATTGAATTTTGAACTCTGAATTGGACATTGATTCCATACTGACCTGAATCAAAATCATGGCTTAACGAAACAAAAACGAAGCAAAACAATCCAAACACACTTATATACACTAACTGGTATTAACAAAAGAAAAACCATGTAAATCAATACATTGGCAATACAATTACAGAACAAGAAGGTACCTCTCACAAACGAAGGTGCGAGCACTAACTCTGGAGTGGTAACAGCATATACACGCCCAGTAGGTCTCTGATCCACCTGCTCCCCTCTTGGAGCATAAGCCAGATGTACAGACTGAGCCGAATAGGCTCCTGGAGTGGCCCTCGAGGCTTGTGCCGACTGTGCTGGCTGGTGACTCTGAGTCTGCCTCGATCCAGATGCACCAAGTGTGCCACCCAACTGTGGACAGTACCTCCCCTGACTCTAGCTCGGTGGGCGGATTGAAGATGGAGCAGACCGATGTCCTCTCCCGTTCTATGGGCAAGAAAAGGACTTGTGACCCAACCGGCCACACTTGAAACAAGAAAATCCTCCCTGGCCACCTCCCCCTGCCCCTGAACTCGACACTGGAAAAGTGGACCTAGACTGTGTCCCATGAGACTGCTGTGGTGTAATACCCCTATGTCTCTTGCTATGTCGGGCCTTACCCTGTATCTCTTGGCCTCTCTGCCTGAAACCCCTTATCTCCTTCTCTCCAGCTCCTAACCGAGTTTTCATTTGTGCCACTGCCTCGACAAGACGATTGTACTTCCTCATCATAGACCCGCCCACACAGGAGGCAAGCTCATCTCTCAATCGAGTCTCAAACTCAATACAACAACGCTCTTCTGTCGCCACAAGCTCAAGAGCAAATCTGGACAAACTAGCAAAAGTGGCCTGGAATTCCGCCATCAGTGTGCCAAGCTGCTGTTTGAGGTTCTTGAACTATTCTCTCAAACTCTCTTTGACAGTAGTGGGCAGATACTTCTCCTAAAAGGCGTTGACAAAGGCCTCCCAGGTCACCCCAATACGTCCTCGGGCGTATTTCCACCACTGACCCGCTTCTCACTTCAGCTGAAAGGATGCCAAGGTCACTCTTAGAGCATTGTCCTCAATGTCTAGCATCTCGAATGTCTTAACCGCCTGCTCTAGCCACTCATCAACTTTTAGCAGCTCCTTAGGATCTCCCCCAAAAACATCCGGATTGGTCCGGAAGAACTCCATTTTTAGCATGAGTGGTCTTGTCTCTACAACAGGGGCTGTTGGGGCTTGTACTAGGTTCTTAGCCCTCAGTATGTTCAATGTCCTTGCTATCTCCCGAGCCAAAGCACCCATGGCCTGTTGCCCAGCTGGCTCAACCACATTTGTCTGCCCTGTCCCCTCCTCCTGCGTCGGAATCTCATTCGGTATTGGCATCTCGTGCCTTCTAGGCCTACCACTGCCCCTTCTACATCCTGACATCCTAATAAAGATAACACTCGAGATTAGCACAATCACAATTATGCCGAAACTAACTCACTCACGTCCTAAGGCAATGGACAACAGTTAATTCATTCCACATAAGCACATTGTCACATAAGCACATACAGATTTTCTTTCTAGATAATGATTGTCCCATGACATTGCTAGAGTTCCAATCAGAAATAGCACTGATCAAGTGCTCTTCTGACTGGACTTCCAGGAACTCACAGACC